TGAATGAAAGGTGTGTGAATGTGCCCTGTGATGGGTTGGCACCGCATCCTGTGTTGTCCCCTGCCTTGTGCCCTGTGATGGGATGGCACCGCATCCTGTGTTGTCCCCTGCCTTGTGCCTGTAGCCTCCAGGACAGGCTCTGGACCCCCCACAACCCTGAATAGGACAAGTGGTTTCAGAAAATGGATGGATGGATGGACGATTTCTTGCACATGCATCTATCCATTTTCTAACTGCTTAGCCTAGTTAAGGTCACAGGACTGATTCAACAATAAGAACCCAAAAATTAGATTTTACGTTTAAAATCAGTTAAAATTGATATTATATAAAGGCAAATTAGCTTTGCATATATTTTGGAGTGTAATTTAGAAAGTAAAACCAAAATGAACATGTATGGACAATTTCTCCCCGCTGGGATGGCTAGTTTTGCGGTACCTTTCAGATATATTATCAGAATGAAAATGCATTGAGCTGACTGCACCAGAGTCTCCACTACCAAGTCTCATCCAGAGCTGACACACACATGCGCACGCACATGTCGGGTAAACATATCTTTATGGGGACCACTCACACACACACACACACTCACACACACAGACAGACACACACAGACAGACAGTCAGACACACACACACACACACGCCGACACACATATAAACACACAAACACATACACGCAGAGACACACACACACACACATGTGCACAAACACACAGACTCACACATGCAGAGACACACATATATGCATGTACATACATGCTCATACACGCTCATACACACACGCCATACACGCTCATACACGCTCATACACACACGCCATACACGCTCATACACACATGCCTGAATTATTCCGTTGTAAAATCTCTCCAGCAAATGGATGAGCTGTAATGAATAAGGAGTGAATCCAGAATCAGGAGCCAAATCCACAAATGAGGAATGAAATCATTTGGGGCAGCACAGGGAGGGGCTAATGCATTTGTGTGTGTGTGTGTGTGTGTGTGCTTCAGTGTAAAAAGAGCACTTCAATGAACCCCATTATGTTAAAGTACATATAGTAAAGTAAGAAATACAACCCTAATTCTGCTTTTGTATCTCATAATTTAGCTAAAGTCTCACCGCCCCTTTTCATATAGAGCAGAGATTTTTGGATGGATCTTTTCTCCCTGGGGTGGGACTTAGAGCTTAACTCTATATAAACCATTTGTGGCATCATGCAATCTGGCTTCCCTCTCTGCAAACTCATCAAGTACGACATCCAAATGGATTTCGGCTCTCGACAGCAAATTTCTATTAACAAAACCCCATTAGCATGGGGCCATTGATTTAATTGTAAGTGTAATTATCGCGATGTTTGTCATCCCTGTGAACATAACCACCAGCAGAAAGAACGGCACAGCTCGGGCAGCTTGGGGGCCAGCGAGAGGCTCCCCCTCTTCCTCAGTGGGCTTGGGGATAAATGCAGCCCTTGTCTTCCTGGTGGAATCAATGGAGAAGGGTTCTGCTGAAGAGTGAGCAGAAATGGGCCTGTCGATATTGCCCCTCAGTGCAGCTCAGCTTCTCAAAGCACCTCTCCCACTCTCTCCTTCTATACAATCTGAGATACATGCCAGGGGCTGAGAGCCAATCCTCCTCATCCTTATAAGTAGGACACTTTTAAAACAAATGCAGTACAGCCTAACAGGCTAACCAGAAATCGGCACCTTGAAATTAAACATCATTTTAACCTGAAATATGTGATGACCAATTAAGTGTCATCTGTGCCGTGATTTGAAGCATTAGGTAATAGATTGCTAACAAGATAGCTAACGAGGACATCGGTATCGCTCCCACTGAACAGAAAAAATGTCCAATTTATATAATGTGAATATATTCTCTGGTGAAACAATAAATCAACTCTAATTATATAAAAAAAAAACTAGCAAATGAATGCCATAATTTTGTTCTACTCAGTTTCTTATTATGGGTTGTGCGATGCCGTGTGCCTAACAGCAACTTTGATGAGTCCGATTTCAATTCCTGTGACTCAATGGGATAGGACACTACGCCTGTGATCAGACAGTTGTGGGTTTAAATCCCAGTTTTGGCAGAGCAATTTCACCATTGGGCCCCTGAGCAAGGCCCATAAGTCATAGCTGCTCCAGGGCTGGGTTTTCCAACCCAGTCCTCAGGGACCTCCAGACAGTCTGCATTCTTGATGCCTCCCAGTTCCTAGCCAATCAAGAACACTGAATACCTGGCATGGGTGCCCTGAGAACTGATTGTCTGGGGCCCCCCAAGGACTGGGTTGGAAAACACTGCTTGGGCGGTTGCATGATACTGCTTTCACATATAAATCTTGCTTTGGATAAAAGTACTTGTTCAATAAATGTAAAGTAAAATGATGCAGTAAAAGCATGGCTTTATCAAAAGGCACCGTGACGCGTATGAGGTGGTGCTGGACGTACGGTAGATGGTGAGCTTCACGGGCATGCTCCTCATACTGCTGATGGGGTTCTCCACTGTGCAACTGTAGACATCGTCGTCGGCCATCAGCACGCGTGTGATGGTCAGGATCTTATGGTCAGGTGACAGCAGCAGCCGGGACTCATTGGTCAGGGGCTTGCCGCCCTTCAGCCAGCTATAGACAGCCTTGGTCCCGTTGTCGTGGGAACAGTTCAGGGTGAAGTGCTCGCTGAGCTCCAGAACCGTTGAGGCCACCATGTGGACATAGGGTCTGGACACAGGCTCTGAAGGGGTGTACAGAAGATGAGGCTCTGTGTTTATTTCAAATTTGTTTAAGTCCCAGCACAGGTACATGATGGTTCTTTAAATTTAGCATTTTTGAGGGTCTGACATCAACATGACTATTTTGCCAAGGACAGGATTCAAACCAGTGTCCTTCTAATCAGATTTGTTGAACATGCACATATTGCATATCTTCTTAATATAGCTCATAATAATATTGGTTCCTGGGAAACTGATCTGCAGTAAACAATGGGTAACGCTTTACATTGACCGCACCTTCATAACGCATTCATGGAACATTCATATGCAGCATGTATGTATACCTTAACATCCTAACAAGCCTTAAAATACATTCATTTGAAGCATTTTATGATTATAATGTTTGTTATTATCATATAATGTTTGCTATTAGTGTATATTAAAGCTGTTAAGTTATGTTAAGGTATATTTAGATGCTGTTTATGAATATTCTTGGAATACATATTTAACGCATTAAGAAGATGCACTGAATGTTAAATGAATGCATTATAAAGGCATAAAGGCATTATGAAGGTGCAGTGTTAATGTAAAGAGTTTCCAAACAATGAATATTGGTAATTTCCTTTGATGTTCATAAATCAGATTCCCAATTAGTGGAGGTAATGGTTGCCGCAGTAATCTGTCATGAAATTATATACTCTGTAAAATATTGAAAAAGCAATTAAAAAATTAAGTTATTATAAATGAGAAAATGAGTCATGCTAAGGTCTGAGAGCGTGATAAAGAGGTGAGGGAACATGCCTCTTGGACCATAGGATAAAATAAATGAATGAGATCATTGCAGAAGCTGATCCAGTGCCTTATGGACCTGGCTGAACCCACCATCCACCGTGAGGTTGATACTGCCTTCCCCAGTAAAGGTGTCGTCCGTGATGGAGATCTCCACCTCGTAAGTGCCCTCATCCGACAGCTTCAGGTTGTGCAACAGCAGCGTGCCGTTCTCGAAGATCAGCACGCGGTCCTTGTACTCGGAGCGCAGCGTGCCCACGATCTGAGTGCCGACGGACTGCACCACGGTCACCGGCCTTTCCCTCTTCAGCTGCCACTTGATGACGGGAGGCTCGGTGCTGGTGCTGCTGTAGCGGACCGACAGCAGGGCCTCCCCGCCCAGCGTGCCCCGGATCAATGAGCCAGGGCTGGTGATGTTCACCCCAAGCGCCCTGCCTATGCACAGCACACAGGTGTAACATGAGTTCTCAGTCTTCTATTTTGAAAGAGACTTTTATTTTGAAATGTGGAGTGTGGGGGCCCAGTACATTAGTAAGACTGGGGGTATATATAGTACTGTGTAAAAGTCTGAGGCAGTCTAATATTTAAAACTATTTATCTGGGTAGTAAGTAGACATTTGCTCAGAACAAAAAACAATTTAACATTAGAACATATGCAAATTAAGGGCAACAATAAAATCTAGTAAAAATTCCTTCTGTTCTTCTAAAAGTCACTGATGTGTAGTTGGATGGCTAGATGAGCACAGCTCCAGTTCCTAAACCTTCTCCTCAGGGGCACCTCAGCAGTTCCATGTATTTAGCAAATTTCACCACCAGCTCACTTAATTAATTAACAAAAGTAAATGAGGTATCGGTTAGTCATTGGAGGTGTGTTAGTGGTAGAGCCAAAAAACACATGGATGCATTGTGTAGTTGCTGCAAATACTGGGGTGATTTTAGCAGAAGTTTTAAAATGACACACTTTGACATAGTTTTACATAAACATAAAGAGAATTTAAATATCATTTTCTTTGGTTGCCTAACACTTTTGCACAGTGCTGTATGTTTAAGTTTTGGGGGCTCTGGGAGTAGTTGTGGTTGTACGGCTTGAGCTTTAAGATCATATAATAAAGTTCTGGTTAAGTTACCCTGTAATCTTGTTTATTTTGCAATACCTGAATGGTAAAATATTACTACACTGCAATGGGACGACAGCCCCCAAATTAAGGATTACACAACAAACCGCTGAATCAAAACTTTTCTTCCCTTTGTTCACTGAGCTAAACAGGCATTTACAAAGTAGGCACACAAACCATACGTTGCCGGCAAAGAGGACACTTACCAGACAATAATCGGCAACTGAAAGATGTAACAAATGAAATTGTGTTGTCCTTCTCATACCGGCCTGTAACTGATGCTTTAAAAATTGCTTTAGTAACAGAGACACTAACCAGCGTGATGTTTTAACCACCTGAGCCACATGTACAGGGCATTTAATGGTGTAATTAGTGCAGAAAGCTCATAGGTAATCTTGACCACGCTCCTGACCTGGTGGTACAATGGTGGACGTATATAGTATTGTTATAATCACTTGGATTCATATTCATTTATAAAGCAAAGAGTTTATAATTCAAACAATTTCAAATGTACCCAAAAGTTCCCATCCAGGCCTTATCGATATATATGATTTATTTTTATGGTAATTAGTAATAGTTATTAACGTGTTCTCTTCCTGCCCTGGGCTGATTGGCCGACGTCCACGGCACAAAGCACATGGTGTGAAAGCGTACTGGTGTGGTATCACACAAGAAACAATGCTGTCCTGGATTTGGATCTCACAATGGAGGCCTTATGGCCGCTCGCATGAGGCAAACCGCAACGGCCCCGGGCCGTGAGCACAACCCCGCGCGGAACGCGGCAGACTCAGCTCGCCGGCACATACACGGCGGGAAGAAGCCGCCTTAACCTTCCGCGGCTGCCGGGGCCTGCTGCTTTGCCGCCCCGCGTGACGGATTGGCCAGCCGGCACCCGCCCCTTTGCTGCCAGGCTCGCAATTCACTGGGGCAGGCCTGTGTGGCATCCTGCCGTTGCCTTGACGACCATCCCCAGGCCAAAAGGGGGGGGAGGAGGGGTTGCCATGACTGGCGAACAAAGGCAAGAATTGTTTGCCTGATTTCCTCAGAAGAAACACTCATGAAAGGACTACTGAGGGGAGCACAGCTCCCTCCTTGTGATTGGCCGGCCCCGAGACACAGGGGCCCAGTGATTTGACAGCATATCTGAACAATGACACAACACAACTTGGGGAATGCAGCACCTGGGTTTAGGGAAGCTGTTCGCCTTGCCCTACGCGGACCCTGGGGACAAACATCACTCACAGTCTTCTGACGAGGCCTTACACTCTCTTCCGCCCTTTCCCTCTAATTCCACGCCCCTAGTTTTCCTGTTTCTCCTTAGATGTCTGGCTAACGAGTCTCTACCAACCCACTTTTGATTGTGCCTTTCAGATTTCACAGGGAGCCCAGACTGTGGACGGCCTCTGCGTCCAGGAAGTGCCTTAAATGATCCACATCCTGTCAGGTCTTTCTGGATCACTAAACAAATCTCACCAGCGACAAAGGCAGGGGTGGGGCCATTCTCTATTCCACGACCTGAATGCATTGCAAAAACTGACAATGAGAACTGGTAGCCTTCCAGATTACATGCATCGTTTGTATACAAAGTGGATGTCTTATTTAGAGACCGAAATCTAAGGCGGACTCTTGAAACTTGAGTTTAACAGTTACAGTGCAAGCTAAGCTAAGTCAAGCCAAGCCAAGTGGACTTTGTCATTCCAGCCATACAGAAGATTGCAGTGATATACTTGGTCATATACTTTAACATGCTACTTGCCTTAGATTAGTGATTTTTAACTGTTTCTACAAGAGTAAATCATAAATAATGCCGAATGTTTGGCATTTGGCACTTAGAATATGACAAATTCACTGAAGGATACGATCTCCTGTCCATTATAGAGTCATTTATGTAATAAGTCATTTTCTTACAAAGTGCATGGACCTTTAACATTTCTTCTAAGAGGAACCAGTACTGGTCCAAGTTTGCATGCCATCTGCTCACCGCTTTTGCATTAAGACATTTTTTTTTCTGAACACAGAAATCTGACAGGTACTCAATGAGTCATGTAACAGTTGGCGACCGAGGCACCGTGAGTGGTTCTGCCATTTGACATCACACATGGCTGAAACACGTACAAATCTGCTTTTTGCAGTGATGAAAAATGACACAGCGCTACTATACTGTGTTATAATGAAGTTATTGTTTATTAAAATGCTGCCCATGATAACATTTCATATTCCCTGCCAAAACTGAGACAAAGCTGTGCTAATGATGAATAAAATTCCATTGTTGGAATGTGTCTATACAAGCATGTTACCAATAGAAGCTGCAGTATGGCTGTCATTTCATAGTGTGTGCTATTTGATAGATGACAGTCCTCTCTGAATACTGCTTCTAGGTATTAAAATAAACACCGTCATACAGAATGGCTACAGACACAATGTTTCATTATGAGGAGTCAAGACACACTGTCCACCCTTCTAATTGTATTATGGATGGCACAACCTTTGTTACGAAAAAACCTCCACCGAAATTTTATATACATGAACACCATAAAAGGGGTCTTATTAACAATAACTTAATGAATTTTATGTACACAAAGAACAGTTTTCCTTTAGAAATAATATTTAAAAAATCATTTAAGATAATGTCGTAAGCTATCTCAAACTGGACTGCTGAGAACAATAGTTCGGTTAATGATGAAATTTATTACATGTGATTACTCGATGAGGTTTAATTGGGATGAAATATATTATCAGTAGGCTTTGGTAGGAAGAACACTGAAATTTATCTGCGTAGGCCTAGTTTATAGTAAGACAACTAAGTGATAAATTAACACATAATCAAACATCCACTGCCTGTTAAGGGAGAGTTTCTCCAGTAAAACAATCACATGAAAACTGGGATTTTCTTTTGATTCAGTTTAATGACTATGTGTATCATACACACATATAAGACTTTACCACCCACATCCCCACAAACGGTCACGCTTCAAAGAAAAGCTTTTAAGTGAAAGTTTTCTAAAAATGCAAGCATGACACCAAACGTTTACAATGCCTTCACCCTCCGGCATACAGATGACAGCCGAGGACGTGTGTGCGTGCGGCTGTGCCGCTCGTATGAGCGCGGACGCATGCACACATACGCACACCCGCTCACACCCGCTCACACCAGCTCACATACACTTCACCAGCTTGCCACGTTTCCTCCATCCGCAAGAGTTTGCGCACACGGACGCAACAGGCTTCCAGCAAAGAGAAAACAGAACAATGGAGAAAAAACAAGAAAATTCTATCAGCTTTCTCACCTGAGAGGGTAGAAAGAAGCAGGCACAGAAATGGTAAAAATGCAGGGGCAGCCAATGCTGTGGAGAGAGCCTCCCTCCCTGCCTTCATCTTGGGTCTAACACTGGGTTTCTCTCCCAGACAATTAGCATGATTTGTCCACTCAGGGCACGTCCCTGGAAGCGCACAGAGTGGTTTGTGAGAGGGTGCTCCCTGCCAGGGCCGGTCCCCCCGCACAGGACTCCACCATTACGAGGCGCAGCCTCTGTGCGTGTCTGTGAGTGTGTGTGTGTGTGTGTGTGACAGCGTATGCTGTCAGCGTATACATTGTAGTCTGCTTTATGGATTAAGGCCTCTGATTTTATGGCCCCCTCCTCTCCAAACTCTGCTGACTTCAGACCGGTACGGGTTTAAGCTGATGCTCGAAAATTTCTGCTCCCTCTTGCACGGGAGAGGCGCACGCTCGAAAATTTCTGCTCCCTCTCACACAGGAGCGGCGCAGCTGCGATTAGGTGCCCACTCAACGGAGCACATGTTCTCGGTGGGGGGTGCACATTCAGCTCTGCTGTGGCGCTTTGGCAAAGGTGCTACTAGCTGTCAAAACCCCACAGGAGCCTTGCATTCATGCTTGAATCTCCTTAGGGGACCTTATTTTTAACCTAGCGGAGGTCACAATGATTCACACAAGCAACCTTTTGCCGAAAACATAAAACGCTGTGAGGCACAACACAGGTTGCTCTCAAGTGCCTAGAAATTACAAAAAAAGAAGCACAGACTGCCTTCGACTGTGAAAGACTCTAGAACTGGCTGGCCACAGCTGAAACCATATATGCTCATCTTTCTTATGAAGGTGGAATTACTACAAGCCTAGCCGTCTAAGACCAGAACACTTGATGGTTGTCTCAGAGGTTCCGAGACATGAATGGAATTCCGAGGTGGCTGCGGTAATAAACATCTGTTCCCCTCTTGCTGTTCTTCTTTATTCTAACAGCCCCATAAAACAGAACACTGACAAAGGAATGAAGAGACGCCAGATCTCACCAGTTTCGTGGACCCAGACAGCCTAAATCCGGCCCCCTCAACCCCCAACTCCTGTGCCAAACCTGTGCCATTAGAGGTGGAGTCGTTTATTTACTGGTTTGTTTCTCCTCATTTTTTGAAGAAGACAGAAAGAGATGGCAGAAGGAAGGGCATCGGTGATAAGGCAGCATGTCCGACTCTTTGCTTCTCTGTAAGAACAGAAGGATGAGAAAAAGGTTGACAAAAAAAATGCATGGGAACCACGACTGAGAAAATAAATCATCTTGTTGTAGTAGAAGTAAGACATTTAATTAGTTTGACATTTGGACTCACAATTAATGACTAATAACTTTTGTCTTATAATAGATGAATACTCCTGATGCTTGGATGATTGGTTATGAAGTGGGCACGCAAAGACAGATCCAAGGGAACTAGCTATTCACATTTACATTTTTATGCCCCTGGCTATTGTCCACACTACAACAGTCTACTGACAGTGTCCCATAGATTCTTTTCCACTTAGTCAGACTTTTTAATGCCCAAACGTGACCAACATACCAAGAACCAAAGTGAACACTGGAATCAGTATCGACTCTTTTGGCTAATATGTTGATATGTTACCATGCAAATGAAAAGACCAGCGAGTAAAGTGAAGTTCCTGTAAAGACCCATGAGTTCCCTGGGTATTTCCACCAAACAAGGACACAGAGGAACCCACTCAGCTAAATGTGTCTCCCATTTAATTCCCATCTATCCCCTTCAGTATGTGCTTCCAATACATTCATGTCTTCCATCTTAGACACAACTCTCACTTCTTTTCACAGTAGGAACTGCAACCCTAAGAACCCATGCTTGATTCCATCTTCTGCTAGCATCACCTCCTTCATCATAGGATGGTGAAACTGATTGCCTCCAGTCAACAAAACTGACTTCTTCCTGACCCTTGCCATGCATTCATCACCCGAGATTCAGGTTCTCCTCTTGCTCTCATGTTACTCCTCTCCTTTTCTCTCTTTAATGGCTTCTAATTGGTACTTGCATCAAGTTCAAGTGCTTGATTCTGGGTTTTAGAGCTATTAATGGAACCACACCAACTTCCATTGAATCACTTATGGAGACCAACATTCCATCCTTCTCTTTCCAGTCAGCAAGCCAACCTTGCCCAATGGTCCCTCTATCACATAAAATAAGTCTCACTTTAGATGTTTCTTATATGTGGTTATTTGGTGGTGGAATGAGCTGCCCACCCATATCAAGAGTCCCTGTCAACCATCAAGAAATGTTTCAAGACCTACTGAATCTTTTCTAGGAATACCTTAATTAGCTCATCTGACTACTGACCTGTTACGTCTTCATCAGCCATCACTTGGTTACGGTTTCTTGGCAACACTGGATTCTCATGTATTTGCACTTGTCTAGGAACCTAGTCCTCAATGTGAACTTGCACTTGTTACTGGTCACTCACTGGAAGCTCAGCTTAGCTGCATGTATACCTTAGTTAGCTCCTTAACAGCTGTATGCTATTGGTGTATTGTCTGCCATGCTGAACTTAATTTGAATGAAAATGTTAGCCAAATAAATGAATGCAAGTGTAAATGAACACTGACTTAGTGCATTTGGTCTTGCTCAATATATAAACACAAACAGCTGACAGTGAAGACACATAATAGCTTAAAAGATAAGTGGACAAGTGTAACAATCAAACCATGGGCAACTACTGCTTAATGCAAAATAAATAAATAAATAAATGAGAATGAGTATTCCATCAAAATGATTATTGTCAGTTTTTTCAGTCATCTATTAAAAATCAGTCAGTAAATATACAATGAAAAGTATATACAGTTTTCAACTCTGTATCTTTGAGTAAGGACAGACCTGGCCCTTTAAACAGTGTAATCGGGCAACCAACGGTCAGCTGATTAGATACCCGGCAGCCCCAGTGTGGTCCAGCAGCAGAAAGAGCTGGATTTGTGTACACATATACATACCTAAGAAAGACCTGTTAACTCTCAAACACAAAGACTCATTGATATCATGTAGTGTCTTTTACAGTACGTGCAGCACTAAGGTATGTTAACAATCAAGTGAAACATAGTTTTCGGTATAACTCAAATTTTAATTTTATTTTTTGACATTGCAGTCTTATGCGTAAATAATGTAAGTGGTACCATGTATGAGACAGTTTGTGCTACAAAGAAGGAATCCTGGTTTCCATCTGAACCATGCCTACACAGCTAAGCACTGCATCTAACCCAGCCCACTGTACCAGGGGTGAGACTTCACTGTCAGTGACCTTTCATCTTTGTAGAATCACCCCCTGATGACATTGGGTTTTCTCTTAAAGTGACAGAATCCTTTGGCTCTCTTGACTTAATTAGCGGAGACATCATTGCAAAATGTACATTGCACAGTGTTAGGTATTCATATGAGAAAGTGCACATGCTAATGTATATCCCAAAGGACAGAACAAAAAACACCTAAGAGTTGCATGAACAGTGTAATATTTTCCAAGAACAGCGCCCTCTCCTGTTCAACTGAAAACACAATTCATAGTTCTTCCCCTGGGGAAACGCTTCATGACAGTGATTGGGTTACAGACCTTCTTCAGTCGTTCTCATAGTTTTAAGTGAACATATCAGATAAAAAGGTTAGGGTTATGGTTATGTTTAACCAGACCCAACAATAAATAATGTAAACTAGTAAACCTGAATTTGGGCGTGATAATGTTCCAAGTGTCATACAGGGCGGTTAAAACTATTAAACCGTATCGCAGAATGTCTGCTTCAAGTGTAATAAGCCCAGTAGTTGGCTAATTACGAATAAAATCCTCCCACCATGAATTGAGCTGGAAGGTCTGACATTAAACTAGAAATGATCGAACTCCACTGACGGACGCCCCATAGTGTATATGTTCCTCTATACCGCACAGATTTTGCTTGCACAGTCAGTGGAAATTAAGTTTTTTTAACCAGAAGTAGACTAAGATATTCTGGTGCACAGTAACACAGTAAAAAAACATTTAAAACAGTCAAGAGCACAGGGACAGTTGGTGTGGAGTTGGTACAGAGAAGCAAAGATGATACACTTCTTCGACTTGCTAACTCCAAGCGCATGGGGCGGCCAAGGTACGCCCCCCCCCAGCCACCCGCAACAGTTCACGATAACAGTGAAATAATATTGTTCACTTTGTGTAATAACACAAAAAATATATAATGCGTAAAATTTTACATTAGGAAACAACTGAATAAATAGTTAGGCTTGGAATAAAAATATGTAATATCTTATAGAACAGGTGTCATAATGCCTTAGGCCTATTATTTCTTTGATCGCGTTAACTTTGCGTTAATTTTGATAACCAATGCGGGAATAGCATATGAGCAAAGACTGTTAATAGAATTTTTCTACACTGAATATACAGATTATAAAATTGTTTTTCGTTTGATGGCTGTAGGAAGTTAACGATTTTCGCTAATTTTGAAATTAATTGATACTGGTCTTCTTGTCGCCTCTTCACTAAGAATGTTTTTTGTTTTTGGTCACACCTCGGTAACCTACCAGCGTCCTTGACAAAGTTTCCCTCCATATCGTGACAGCCCGGCGCCCCCTTCTGAGGCGGAGCGTAACTAGCTGGCTAGTCAGCGCCCCATTACAGGTTGGCGCCCCACATCGCGCGATGGTTGGCGGCGGCACTGAGAAGGGCGCGAATACGTCTGTAACGGCGCGAGCACGAGCGAAAGCGGCAGGCTAGTCGGCACCCCCAGAACGGAAGTTGGCGTCCTAGGCGGCTGCCTATGTCGCCTATAGGATTGAAATACCTTGGATGCCCGTCCCCTCTTCCAGTTTTCATAGTAAGATGCTGTTTTGTTATTATTTATTATTTCTTTTTTTTTTTTTCAAATAAAAACATGATGGCTCCTCATTAAGGGGAGGGACAAAATAAGTGGGAAACTGCAGAAGTACTGGCGCAATAAGCAATTTAATTAAAGATATAACTTTAAGCTAAACGCGAAGACGAAAACGTGCACCCACTGAGCACACAATTTTCAATAACAGTGAGTCAAACCATTTTCCTGATGAGGTGAAATTATGTTTATAAGACATTTATAAGCTCGACTGCATCCTCCCAACAGTTTAACAGATAATTGATAATTTAACAGGAAGGCACAGCACTGGAAACGTGTGTTGCTAGGAGAAAGCGCTAAAACGAAAAAAAAAAGAAGTAATTTCTCTAGCTGCCAACTTCAGCGTCACCACACAGACTCCCTCCATGCCTCCGAGTGTAACGTGGGCGTCCTGTAGGCCGAGCTGCTGAAATAAAGCGAAATCCAACTGCGCTGCGTTCATGGAAGAGGATCGCAGCCTTATCAAAAATTTAGCTACACATTACAAGATTACAATGAAGGCATGGCTGCAATTTCGGGCTTCAGATTACTCATGTGTTATGCCCATAAAAATAAGAATGCAATATGATGATGAGGGTGATGATTTTTATTATTATTTTTATTATTGTTGTTGTTGTTAAGAATGTGCATATGTTTGAGACTTGGTGGTGTGTGCCTCAGTGGTTTATGACACTGTTCCTGTGATTGGATGGTTGCCAGTTCAAATCCCAAGACAGGTGGAATGATTTCTCTGTTGAGCCCTTCAGCAAGGCTTTTGTTCCACAGCTTGTCTGATTCTGCTTTCTCAAGTGTATGTTGCTTTGGATAAAAGAGTTTTCTAAATAAATAAAATGTACATTTCCTCAAGTAGCACATAAGAACTGTGAAAACCTGGGAATTTATAAAGTGTTATGATTAATATTGCTATTGTTCCATTACTGGCCTTAGGCTTTTTAAATTTGAATTTTACTCATTAGTGTAACTATATATTTTAATGGATATTCTTGTTGACTGTCTGCTTCAAGATTAACCATTGTCCCCCTCCCCCCAAAACCAGGCACTTTCTGGAATGTGGACCATTATATACTGACTGTACATTATTATTGTTGACTAAAATTAAAATGATAACACTTTACTTGTGGGGACACAAATACTCAGTAGTAACACAGTTACTACTGTAGTACAAATCGTGAACAAATCATGAACAAATATACTACTTAAAATGAAAGATGCGTAATGATTCATTAATGATGAACAAACATGATCAGTATTTCACTTGTGTTATTCATCACTTGTTCCTTCCACAGTTCCTTAGTACTTCCTTCAGTAGTTCCTTCAGTAGTTCACTAAGATTTACATAAAGATAGTAACAAATATAGTACTTGCTGTCGTTAAAACGTGTGACAATGCATTAATGATGAACAAACACGACATCAGTTTGTAACTAATACTTAGTTTGTGGTTAATTAATAAACATAAGTGATAGGCTAATACTAGATTATTTGTGTCCCATCAAGTAAAGTGTTACCATTAAAACTAATGATTAAAGCACCTTATTAGTCATAAAAGTGAAATTACAGAACCATCATATAAAATGAATATGAAAGTAAAATTAAACTGATTTTGACTAATATGTCTCAGAAATTATAAATTGAAATTTGTTTAGATGCCACTGACCATGTGTTGAATATTAATTTATTCCTATTGGTCACTGAAATTTTCCCCTATGGGAATATTTATGCTAAATAGAGATGCTAGCATTGGAGCTAACCATCAGCCCACAGGAAGTTGAGTAGTAAAAGAATATTGTTTGGGAAATGTGTCCTAGCTCCAGTTAAATCACAGTCTTTTCGTAGTTTTGCCATGTTTTTTTTTCATTTTAGGTATGAATTTCATGTCATGTGATTTTGGCCAGAATAATAAGGATTTTAATTCCCGCAGAAGTGCACAATCCCGTCTGTTATGAACCGCTCTGAATCCGCTCCAGATTGTTTGCCTACAGGACTGGGCAGGGATGTAATACACATATATTCCTGTGCAGCACAGAGGCGCTGTGAGAATATGAGCTGCCATCGTGTGAAAGCCAAGTGAAAGTAATTACGAAATGCTTAATTTCTTCTCCTGCACTGTGACATGGGCGGCACGGTTAAAACAAGAGTTTCATTTTATAACGAATGCTTTGTCCGCGTAAATCACAACTCATGGCCCACCTTGTGAAAACATGTGAGTTTCATGAAAAGGTTTAACCATTTAATATTTTATTACCATACTAATTAAACATCTATAAAGATGTGACAATGCTACAAAACAGATTTGATAGCAAACTCTTAGTAAATTACTTAGAATTCATTGATTGTTGCATTTTTTTTAATGTAGGGTTATTATAGGGTTGAAATTGAAAAATGTTATTGGTGGGGGCAGTAGCTAGTGTCATGGGACTATTGGACTGGGGCCCCGATTCAGTGCTGAGTCAGCAATGTCATGAACGATCTTGCGCCTGTGAGTGGATTTGTGTCCTGCGATATACGGCATCCCCCTTTTTCCAAGGTGAAGCCTACAATCCGCCTTACTCTCCCTGCTGTAGGTGAGGCTTTGGGGCGAAGTCCTGACATAATATCCGGCTACTAAAAATAGGTGGAGAAAATAAACAGATTAGCTCCACTATTGAGAGACCCTCATGCAGTCATTCAGTACAACGGTTATTCTCCAGAATCACAAAGCCAATCTGATTCCATTTAATGCAGATGAAAACCTTTTTGTGTGCTAATAAAGTGGGACCGAACTGGTTCTGTGGAATTTTTATACCCAGTGCAGTGATGCATAAAATTTCTTGCTAGCCTTGACCAAAGCAACATAGTCCATTTTACTTTGTTGTCTCAACTTTATTAAACAGGCAAAGAAACACACAGCATAAGTTTAGAAAATGTTTTGACCTGCCCTGTCTATTAAGATGCATAATTATAAATATTGCAAGGCTGATCGAAGCCAAGTGGAATATATATAGCAGTAATCAATCAGTTTTTAACTAAATTTATGTTGTTTAGTACTAAACAGTTCACTAACTCATAAACTTTGAGTACTTTTTATTGACTGCAACAGTGGTTTAAACAAACAAAAAAAAACACATGCTGTGGTATACTAATTTGGGTCACTAACATCCAACCTGATTGGACAGGAAGCAAAACAGTGTGAGAGAGCGAAAGACATGCCCCATACCTAAGACTAATTCCAATTTATTTGTACAATGAACGTTTCTGTGGAGTGAAGGAGCTGTTGTTATTGCAGTGGATGTAATGTGCTCTCTGGCTCACAAGGGGACCTCACTGTTCGGCCGTCGACCTTCAAGTTCCGCCCTCTACTTGCGCACCTGCTGCTTCTGAAGAAACAGAAAAAGAAGCACTCAGCCATTGAAGGTGGCCAGTTCTCCGTCGCTTCAGCCGCAGACCTCTGGGCCTCTGATTTCAAACATGTCTGGGGTGGATAACAAAACCTGACACTCAGTTCCCTCCTACTACAACAATCCAATGAAGACAGATCTCTTTATTATTTTAATAAGTCACAGCAGCAACTCAGTCTATTTGTTCTTCAACCAGTTTCACTTGAGTTTGTTTTAGGCTGCAGAAAAGTACCAACAGTGTTTAAAATGATGCGCTGATCTTTCTTTTGGTCGTAGTGATTTTGGGGCTGCTTGTTCCTGGGTGTAGATACACACATTAAGTTATATCCTGCTTAGGAATGCATGCAATTGTTATTGCAGGAGAAAGGGAAAAAAATCAACGTTTGTGCACTTAAAGAAAGAAAGTTCATAAAATAATATTTTATTTGTTTACACAAGGACGTGGGAGTTTGCTGTGGTAGACTGAGCTCCACGAGCCAGAGAAACGCTCAGCTGAATCACTTCTGCGCTGGTGGAAGCTTCTGGAACAGTCCTCAGCGGAGCATCGGACACCTTTCTGGAACCTTCTGTTTGGTCTCCCTGTTGATGATGTGTTCTGCTGGCCAAAAACATACCAGCCATTGGAGCTGGTGGGGTTGTTTTCAGAGTGTGTGTGGGGATCTCAATCAAAAATACGAGATACCTAACACCCTGCACATCAAGGAAGCCAGGGGCAGCTGCCTCTGTGTGAAGAATCACAAATACAGTATGCTGTGTGAGTTTCTTGGCAACCATGGGAAAATCTCTGCCACTGAATCTAGGATGGAGTGGCATGAGACTAGAGAGGAATCGTCTTTCTGTAACTGCTCTAATCTTTTCCTCAACATAATGGTATATGGCATATGCAATTACATAAGGCTAGGAAATAAATTCCTTATATATTTCCAGATCTTTCTGCTGTACTGTTGTTACATTATCGCTTAAAAAGGTAAGATAGCCCCCCCCGCCACAACCACCCACCAGCTTACTCAACCACTTTTCCAGACCCCATACCCCCCCATCCCCCCCCCCCCCCCCCCCCAACCCATTCAACAACCTTCTTGACAACCTCACAGTTTCTCCTAGGAGATGTTGTTCCGTTTCATTTTAGATTTGCAGGCATAATTTTTTTGTGAGTGGGCCTTTTTTTATTCATTCATTTTTTCGTTTTTAATGACATTTAACTAGCAAGTTCAGTGGTGGAGATATTAAATGAATCATCTCATAATTTTATCGATGTGCCTTTCATCCGAGGCACATTTCCAGTAAAAACAAAAATTCAGTTTAACCTTCAGTCTCCTAACTAAGGCCAGGAAGCAAGCAGCTGCAGCAAAGGGGAGATACAGAATGGATGCAGTTGCACAACAACAAATCCAGATCAAAAACAAAAACACAGCAGACAAAAGACCACTAGTCTCCCTTTTTCCATCCGCTAAGCTTACACAAGAATTGTACAACAACTGCATTTGGAGTTAGACAGGGAAAAGAGTTTGGGTGAAAAAAATTATCAGCCAAGCGCTCTTCTGTATTGGAAAAGCCACATGCTACCAAAGAGATTGTATTTCAAGACTTACTATGAATACCTAACAAATATTAGACAATAAGGGTAAATTGCTTATACTGAGAGTGTTGTGGACATGAACTTGACATATATGTTAGTCAATCTACCGAAATAATAAAGCAGATATTTAACATCGCACCTTTACAGACACTGTCTTCGTTGCCTAGAGATGGATATTAAAGCAGCATTGCTAGGAAACTAAGGTACATTACTGACTGAGGCAAGTTTATCTTTTCCCGGAGGAGAATCTTCTTTCCATTTCAAAATGATTACAGCAGCTGCTGTTCCAGTGGGACACATGAGCTAAATGGGGACTCGCAATATCTATTGTGTAGGGACTTTATAACGGAAACTGTTTCAAGAGACACTCCAGACCGCCCTCGTTGAGCTGCCCGCACCTTTTCAACCCAGATTCTGCAAAGTGTAAATCAAATGCATCACTGCGAATTTCCAAACTAACACTGTTGTCTGGGTAAACATATAATCCATTTCAACAGATGAGTGATGCCCTGATTTGTTGTGGACTAACAGCAAGAGAACCTATGTGGTGTATTTTTTGTATCTGCCCACCGCTCCAAAAATTTTTGAGTTACATGAATCCATCCATCTTTCTTCTGACTGCTTCTCCTGCTCAGGGTGGCAGAGGGGTTTGGAGCCTATCCCAGGCAACACTGGACTGGAGCACACCCTGGATGGGATGCCAGTCTATCACAGAACACAGACACACACACTCATACACGATCATACTCTACAGCCAATATAGAGACACCAGGTAACATAACTGCATGTCTTTGGACAGCAGAAGGAACCCGGGTTACCCAAATGGAAGCCCACATGACACAGACAATGGTGGCCAACTTGCTGCCCTATACGTTTCTAGTATAGGGAAATAAAAAGGCTTATATATTGACACTTATTTTATTAAAAAGGCTGTTCAGAAAGTCTAGCACAACACTGAAGTCACATGCACACAGACTACCAGAGTGGTACATTTTCCAATATGATGTCCTAATATTGGGCAGGCATATTTGCAACAGCGGGAGGGAGGGAGGGAGGTAGCTCCAAGTTGAGACCACCGTCTGCCAGTACTGGTGTTGTTCTCTGCCATGTGTTAGGAACGGCACAGTTGGGGGGGGGGCTGCCTCTCGCGGATCCCGATCGTCGCGGACCATTCCACACTGGAGCTGCACTGCGCCGTGCCAATCGCAACCAGGCTGCTGACTGCACAACAGGAGACTCTGATCGACATGAAAAGATTGTGTGCATAGAGTTCAGGAAAATTGATGTACAACTAAGGGACTGGAATTCTATGGAACGTAAGCAATGCTGGTCCAAGATCAGAGGGCACCAAATGCACCAAGCTTGTCTCTGAGTCCACTTCAGTGCACTTCAACCTTGTTCTGTAGCAAAAAAAGAATCCCGGATTATGAATCTTGAGCCAGGTTCCATTCTGGTCAAGAAGCATCTTCTGAACCTTAGCTTTACCGATGACATTATAAGGAGAAGGACATGCAATGGCATAAGTTGAGCGTCGTGTCATGATACACCGTCTGGCATTTCAGCCAGATAGAGGAAATGAAATGCTTACAAGGGGTGGAGCCTGGGGTTCTTCGAAGACTGGCTAGCAAAGTTTGACAGGAGAGCAACGTCAGGCTACCTGGTCCATCAGCCTTAGTCTTTCCTTACGTCAGCCTACGTCCTATGTGACGAGGGACTGACCTGAGTCTGCCAGACTGCCGTTGAGCGCTTCCTCCGCGCTCTCATCAGTACCACTGATGCTCACCTCCTCCCTGGGGTTGTCGTCCTTCATCTTCTTCCTGGTCATGTGCCCGCGGAAGCCAGCCTGGATCTTTGTGGCCGCCTTGTTAGCCTCGGGGTCGTCCAGCGGGATGTCCATGATGTCCTTATCCTGTGGCTGGCCGCACGCATCCTGGGAGACACAGCGCAGGTCATTGGCCGTGTGACACGTCAATCAATCCGTCCCATCGCATGAGACCTAACGTGTGATTCACGTCATATACTGACACTATGAGGATGCCCTCGTGTACGGATTGCTAATGCAAGACTTTTGCAGTCACCATGGTGATTAACTTTAGCACAGAAGAGAGCAATTTTTTCTGGAAACCTTTTAAATAAAATGACAGGCAAGTAAGAATGGAGCAAATCTGATGAAGATTGATGAATCTATGCAAACAGCCCAGAATGTTAATGTTTATTATACAAAAACACTACAAAGAAAGAACTATCACGTGGGTTTTTCTTAAGGCTGTCAACTAATCACTCCCCAGTGACTGAAACTAGCATTTCCAAAAAAGCTTTTCAAACAGAACCAATTTAGTATTTTTCTCCTGTTATGGACCTTTTCTGGTTTTGTCTGACATCTGATACTGAATTGATATTACTCCAATGTGCTTGAAATCAAATGTATCTGTGCAACAGAGTGACAAAGTGTAACTTCCGTTCCAGTTAAACAAAAATGTTTGTTATTGCTTTGTCTAAAAACGCCTTTGTGAAAGGGGCAAACTTTATATTTCAGCCATTGCCACCTTCTACCTCTGAAAGTTTCCAAAGTCAGACCTTATCCATCCTAGTGGTCCCAGAAGTCCACAAGATACATTTTTAAGGGTGATATTACCTTTACTGTCTGCAAAATATTTCTCCAAATAGAGACTAAAAGTTAGAGGTTGACCTATAAATTAATGCCCATAAACACTGTTCTACACCTTCAATGAAGAGGCTTGGGTATACATTAAAGACCATATGTCTTGTAGAGCAGAAATTACTTCCCAAATGAAACCTAGGGCTTTGGTATCACTTCTGAATGCCTGTTTCAATTCTCACCCCGTAAGACCTTTCGCCGCACAGGCTGGGTGCTGACTGACACTGCTTCAAATATGTATTTACACATTAGACGATTGACCGACGGATTCAGCTTTGACAAGCCCAAAGGTCCGCTGAGTTGGATGGAAGCATGACGCAAGAGCTGAACCAGTAGTTTCCGTCCGACAGGAGCAGTCAGCAAGGGAACTATGACGTGTGCTAACATGGAGCACATACCTGTAGGCGTACTTCATAGCGCGCCAGCGTCAAACAGCTTCAAGGAGAAGCACTTCTAACTACAAATAAAAGTGACAGGAGATATTTGCAGTTTTCTTCCGCCGTGACGCCAGGGAAGGCATGGTGAGCAATTAACTGTCCCTTCTTTTTAGCTCGGACAGCAACACAATGTTTAAAGCTCGGGCGGAAAATGGAAAAACAAAACTTTCCTTAATTTCTCCATGGAGATTGAACTGGAAGAGATCCCTTTACCTTGTTTACCTCCATCTGTCACAGATGGTTAGTCTGGCAGGAAATTCTAAGCTAGTGGAAATGGGAAGATGTGCCGCGCTCTTCATTCAGTGATTCAGCGTCTGCCTAAACAAAAGTCCGTCAAATGGCACTACGAACAGCACTGTAAGAGTTATCCCCAGAGAGCAGCCGACACACGAAATCCCGTCGTGCCGTTTATCCGTACGCATGTGTCTCTTATCAAACACGGGGGGGTTGTGCAACCGCCCACCTGCGAAATAAGCAGTCATTAGCACCCCCGACTGTATGTAATGAAAATGTGACCCGTCTTCCCATGCCCTTGGACAACAGAGAGGGGTGAAAATGTGAACTCGGCATTTCCAGATTGAGGCATATTAATCCTCCATACAGACGGAGAGATTACCGTACAACGTCAGATATAACAGGTTAATAAAATTCAGCGGTATAGCTACTGTGAAATTTTACTAATCGCGTGTACAATTATGTACCAACAATTTGACAGCACGTCTGTCGTTCGCATCTATGGGTTTTTGCCTCATTTGCATGCACTTTATGCAGGCAAATTATTTTATTCATTAGCTTTCGATAGTTAACAATTGCCTTGATGTAGTTATAGTCAAATTATAAGTTAAATTGCAAACTTTACTATCACATGACGCAAAACACGGAATATATTTTACAAAACCTAAATGAGTGATATAGTGACAAATAAGCTGCGATTCAGCGTTTGGTAACCGATAACACATATTTCAGCTGCGATGTTAACGATGTTAAGGCAGAGCGGGGGTGGCAGGCGCGCGCTACTGTGGAAATGGGAGACGAGTTCAGCTGATACCGCAGCGCTCGGATGGAGTAGTTCAGCAGCGTGCCCCGCCCCCCAAAATAAATAAAAATTAAGCAAAATGTTATAAACAGCAGACTCTAAATGCAAGTGTTCCGTGGCTTCGTATAATCATGGCAAACACAGGCTTTACAGTCATAATTGCCTGATTATTCGATAGCTCTTGCGACAAAAGACGAGGTTGCACGATAAGCTAATTACATAATTATCACATCTGAGTTAATCTGTAGTTTCTAAGTGGAAATAAATGCTATAATTCAAATTGAAAATGGTGTATACTATCCTTTAACTTGACATCAGACATCTCTTAATTAAACATTATACATAATCAAACATGATTGGACAATACTTTGTGCTATACAATAATCATAATAATGCTAACGCGAATAGTAAGTTTAAAATGCAGTACATATAGGCTACAGTGTCTGTAAAACATGTACATCTGTTTACTAATTTTAAAGTACAACATTCTTAAAAAATCAGATACCCATGCAATAACTACATAAACACTATGCGCATACTTACGTTTCTACAGTCCATTGCAGGAGTATGTAACTAAAAATCTTCGGTAATGGTGTAATATGCCTTCGGAAAAAAATGTTACGGTTACTGATGCTAAGAACAGGTTCACTCACTCTCGCTCTTTCTCTAGCTCTCAGTCTCTTGTATACTCCCCCCCATCTCTCTCTCTCTCTCTCTCTCTCTCTCTCTGTCTCTGTCACACACACACATTCACACCTCACACAGACTGACGCTACGCGATACTCACTGTTCCACCTAACCAGGTAAGCCGCCAGTATTGTGGATCATTCAAGTGTTGCGCGCAGATATATATATATATATATATATATATATATATATATATATATATATTCTTCCCCCCCTAAGACCAGTAAAATGTGCCAGTCTCCACTTTTAATAATTAAGCCACAATTTATGAACTTGTGCATATGGCCTGCGGCCACCGTTTAATGTTGTTTAAAGTTCCACATTTACACGGAGAGTCTGAAAGAATTACGTAATTATAATGCTAAGTATTGGTTTTATGCTTAATGAATTATTCATGACCATTGAGGCAGTCTGCTTTCCTGGGGCTGTATTCCTTTTACTGCCAGCTACGAAATCAGGCCAGGGTAATCTTGCCAATACGGGTGATACATTATGCTGATTTCATTCACTTTTTTTATTATCAAGTTCAGATGGTACGGCTACAGACCCAAGATTCCACTTTGACACGTGGTGCGTTTGGCCAGATGTGGGATGCACTGTGATTACAATCTATTATCTTTATATTGTGTGCTTTTTGTGATTGTGAGACGGATGATGTCACAGGGCGGGTGGGGGCAGCAGAAATCATCATTCCACCCCTCCGATAGTCTAGTACAGCTGTGGGCTTAATTTTAGCTTGGCAAGATTTTCACTGATTTATGCAATGTAAAACCAACTAGAAGGATAGCCATTAGCGTTAATGTTTAGTCTTTAGCAAATGTAGCATTTGTATTTAATTAGCTTTTTTGAAAATAGGTTTTGCACAGAGAGGCTGAATTATCTCAAAAAAGTTTATTTGTGCATGGTTTCTCTGTTGTTGGACCTTCACTACACAAATGGGCCTTTTTAACATAGAGTGGAGTTCTCCGCTAGGGACCCTCGTCATCTCTGTAAGTGGCACTTCAGCAGTCCGCATTAAATCTGCCATTTTTCATGAATATCATGTCCAGCTATTGTATTCTACAAAACAAAGTCTGTGCTTTTTATGTGGGAGCGCACATACACATACGCGTATGTTTTTGTTTCATAATTTCGCTGCCCACTTCCGTTTTGTTAATAATAATAATAATAATAATAAATTAAATTTATAATGCACTTTACATTTTACAAAGAAGATCTCAAAGTGCATACAGACAGTGAGAGAATATCACAATAAAAACAACAGTAAAAGAGAAGAGAAAAAAAATGCATCAGCCAGTGACACATGCATTCAAGCATATTTATCCCGACAGTTTCAACAGTGGGTGCGTCTCGGTGAGAACAGCAGGGATTACGGTCGGGCAAATAGGAGGAGAAGTCGTTGTCGTTGTTCCGTTTTGTGCATTGTGGTCTTGTGTATTCCAAACAAAACCTTTCCGTCACCCACACCGCGTTTTCGCCTGAGCCCAAAGGGCAGCAGGCTAAGCTGAAACTGACCGGCTAGCTTAGCTGGCTGAGGAAGGAACGCATGGACAGATCTACCTCACCGTTGTCCCTGGAAACCACCACAATCTCCTCCTCCACACTGTCGGCTTTACACACCCCAGATGCTGCAGGTGAAATAGCATCGTGTGGAGGATTTGGGCCCTAACTGAAACTTCCTTACATTACATAAGGGGCTGCTCTGGTAGACACTGCACTGTTAATGTTCGTTTTGCCACCACAGGAAGTGACAGTTATCATATTTGTACATTTGTGAACATATTCAGGTTTGCAGTCTTCATTCAAATGTCAGCTCACTCACTCATAAGGAATCTTTGCATACGTGTCAGCAAGGGACCTTCCTCAACTTGTACGTTGCATAATATACAAATATTTCCCATATCGAAGGTGCTGTAGACACCTGATAGGCAATTTGGAGGCAATTGTTACATTTATAGCATCAGCCAGTGACACATGCATTCAAGCATATTTATCCCGACAGTTTCAACAGTGGGTGCGTCTCGGTGAGAACAGCAGGGATTACGGTCGGGCAAATAGGAGGAGAAGTGGCTTGATATCATGAAAAATTATCATCTGGCCTTCTCCACGGACTCAGGCAGTAGATGCAGCTGTTTCCAGCTCCAAGGTTGTTAGAGAAGCTGTGTTTCATAAAGCACCGAGACAGAAAACTTTGCCTAGTTGGTCTGTTGAACTAGTGTCGTTCCCCAACTCGGTTTCTCTATTAGCATAACCTAACCATCAGCTGTCAAGATAAAAACTGGCACCCAACCTCATGCTCAAAGCCAAAGACAGTTTTCGATACTCAAATGCTGAAATTATAGTGAACCGCTGTCACCTGGAAGCAGTGCCAGTCGAAGCACAAACTTCACTGTCCAATTTCACTTAGTCTCAGATGGTGAGCATTGGGGGGTTTGCTAAGTCAGTGCCCCCCCCCCCAGTGCCTCGGGCTGCCTGCTTAATTAAGTACTGGGTTGGCCTACAGTGCATGGAAGTAACTACTAAATATCTGTACAGGCCTCCAACCTCTCCGGGAAGTTCCCACAGATTGACAGCAGCTCCCTGACACCTTGGAATGATCCCCAGTGTCCCGGACATCAGTCCTTCTGCCATTTTAATACCACCATACCGTCCAGACATTATACCGCAGTATATGGTATTTTGGCGGTATTTTAAAAAGCAACGCTATTCTGAGCACATGATAAAATTTGCAGAGCGTTGGTTGGGGGGAAATTTTGAACAAAGATACTGCAGTATGCCGTATTACAATAATACCGTCCAATCTAGACGTTACCCTTCAGTGCCAGTTGTCTCTCATCCATCTCCCTGAAAGCAGTATGTCTAAGGTGGGATGTCTGTATTTATCTGTACATAACTAAATAAAGTTAATTTGGTAGAGGTGTGGGCTTTGTGACATAGGAGGCTTATCACTGGTTCAGATCCCTTAGACCAGTGTTTCTCAACTCAGTCCTCAGCGAACCCTAGCCAGTCCACGTTTTTGTTCCCTCCCAGCTCCCAGCCAATCAGGAACACCGAATAGCTGGTACAGGTGCGCTGGGAGCTGGGAGGGAGCAAAAACGTGGACTGGCTGGGGTTCGCTGAGGACCGGGTTGAGAAACACTGCCTTGGACCCTGGATATAAACTGGAAAAATGGCTGTCCTTGCACACTGACCCCTAGTTTAAGATGGCACATAAAATATCACCACGAAACAAGTGCCCTCGTTTCATTTAGCCAGTTTTAAAACGTAAAATGTCTAGTGTCTGGCGCCAGAGCACACAAACAGCAGGTCACATGGTCCTTCAAGGAACAACTCAGCTTTATGGCCAGAAGTTCACAGATTCTCCTCAGAGCTAGAGCTCCGATGTGGCAGACCCAAAGTACACAAAGAGTCTGGCCTACATTAATAAAACTTTCATGCTCCTGTCTGAAGGCTAAATAGGCCACAGAGAGGGACCTTGCCACACTCTTAAAAACAAAGCCTTCCGATACCCAGAACCCACTGGGGTAGAGGGGCAAATGCTCTGTCTGGATTTAGTTACGCGTCTGTTGCTTTGGCCATTTAACTTTGATTGACCCACTTAGAGTAACTAATCTAAATCAGGAGGTGGTGAAATGAAGACTGGATCCATAAGTCACCAAATGTTTTAAAGCAATTGATTAATGACTGAGACCAATGAAAAAGACCCAGATTAAGGAAAGATACAGTGCGACAGCCAAACAAGCGGTTAGCGTGAAGTCTGTGAACCACGCCCTGCCACTGCCTCCTCGTGGACTCGTCATGCCTTAATTTCTCCGCATTCTTTCCATACCCCGTATCTTTTGTGCTAAAGAGCAGGGAATTTCTCCCTTGACACAGTTGTGTATCATCACCTGCTTTTTAGTTACCGGTTCATTAATCCAAACATGGCAACGGTCACAGTTTATACTTTTATTTCAGATAACTTTAGGATACACTATTTTTCCAAAATGTTTAGATAGATAGATAGATAGATAGATAGATAGATCATACTAATTAACTAGATTGATTATCAGTAGAAACATAATAAGTATTATTATCTATTTAGATAATCAATATAATCTATCTATCTATCTATCTATCATTAATAGGTAGTAGCGGTAAATATTAGACAAATTAATGGTAAGAAAAGGTATCTCGATGGATCATTGCTTCTTCCCTGACTGTTAAAACACAGCATTAAGACATCTGGTTATTTTTGCATAAAAGTGTCCATATCACCAGTTTTTCTGTTAGTTCTTTGTATTGTGTTGTACTTGCACTGTCAGCATCTATTCAGTATATCAATATCTGTACCAATTTGCACATCTTCTCCACCAATCAGGTGGTTAAATGTGTCTTTCTATCTCTGTCTTCATGTCATATTGTATTTATAATCTTTTTCTTACTTATTTTTCGTTGCACCATGACCATCAACAATGATATGTCAGCTCACTGTATGACTCATCATATATCACAAGCTGATAATAAAATATACTTTGATTTTTCACTTGGAATAACACAGTTCATGTAGACACACGTGTCGTTTTTTTCATATATATATATCTATTCTCTTTTTAACTCTCTTGCCACAGTGACAGCATTAAAAAAAAACATATTTTCTTCCAGGTTTTTATTGTGCTGCATCCAAAAATAACTTCCCTGGGCAGTTTAAAAGCAGGTCATTTTTGACACATGGCACGAGAATTGCCCCCCGATACCCGCCCCCCCCGATGCCCCCACACGTGTGAGGGGCCAGACTGAAATGGCTCTGGACCACAAAACAGAGAAAAACAACAGCAATTATTCTCACAACCATTTCCCCCCCTGTTGAATCTGCTCTAATCATAGAGTGAGAGCGAATTATTAATTCACAGGGGTGAACTGGCTTAAGTGTTGCCCACAGAAAATATTCTGCTCCTGCTTTTCCTGTTAAACAAGCGTTCCTTCAGAAGGAATTTCTACTGAAATATTCAAAGACCTCTGTTC